TTTTTTTTGAGATGGAGTCTTGCTCTGTCACCCAAGCTGGGGTGCAGCAGCGCAATCTCAGCTCACCGCAACATCTGCCTCCCAGGTTCAAGCGATTCTCATGTCTCAGCTTCTCTAGTAGCTGGGATTACAGGTGCCTGTCGCCACACCCAGCTAATTTTTGTATTTTTAGTAGACACGGGGTTTTGCCATGTTGGCCAGGCTGGTTTCAAACTCCTGGTCTCAAGTGATCCACCCACCTCAGCCTCCCAAAGTGCTGTGATTACAGGCATGAGCCACCACGCCTGGCAACAAGTCTTATAAAGAAAAACCAACAGAGTAAAGGTATGTTTCCATGAGTACCAACATAAGCCCCAGAGAATCACCAATAATGAAATCTCAGCACCTGTATCCTTATTGCCATGTAACAATAGGATTAGGAAGTCTGGATGAATGTGAAGTATGACAGCAAAATACACACACACACACACATACACACACACTCCTTAAACTGAAGGAACTGCATGAAAAAGTATTTGGGAAATAAACAGAAAAAGGAAAACACCCATCAAACTTCTTTGAACACGTGTTACTGCAAATCAGGTCCTTCATAATTACAGCAACAGATACTCCTTCCATCAGTTAAGACCAAGGGGGTCTCCTTTGAATCAAGCATTCTTGAGGGGCTGCTATGGGCTTAAATCAAAAATAACCTTTTCAAATTCACATAAGGTGGCTTTATCTAGGCTATCACTTAGATTTAGTAGCAGTATAGGGGAATGGTTAAGAGCTTCAAATGTCAGAGACCCTTGAGGGGCTCCTGACATTTTGGGTCAGCTTTGCCAATTATTAGCTGTATGACCTTCAGCAGTCACTAAACCTATTTAGGAGGAACATTTTGGTTCCTCATCTGCAAAAATGAGAACAACTCTATCTGTCTCAGTATTGCTGTGAGGCCTATTGCGTGTCTGGAACACAGTTAAGTAATTTCACTACAAAGAAAACACTCGATAGTATCCATCTTTGACTATTCAAAACACATCACTTTTCAGCCAAAGACCAAAAGCAAATAACTGGAGTAGGAAACAAAATAAACAAAAGCAACAGGTCGAGTGACATACTCCCAAATTTTCTGGGTAATTCAAGATTGACACCTTGACTTCATAAAGAAGTACTGTACTCAATAAAACAGGTTTCTAGAAAATACTTAGAATTGCTTCAAGAATAAAACTGAGCTAGATGTTAGGAGGTAGGATTTCTAGTCGTGAGTACAGTACTATCTACCTATTTGACTACGGGCAATTTACTAAAGCTTTCTATTCGCACACCTAGTAATTCTGCTGTAATTTCTCTCCATCTATGTGTCTCCTCAGTCCTCCAACCCTTATGGAAGGAATGCCTCTAAGGCAAGATCCATACCTCCAGCATCTTTGCACCTCCACTGCCCAGATCGCAAATAAGTTCCCAACAAATAACGAACTGCTTTCGCTTTATCTGTGATTTCTCCTAACCTAGCTTTAATAATTTGTAAAATTCTAGGACAGAAATTCAGAGAAAGAGCGAGATCTTTTTTCATTAAATTTTGAATACTGTCAACTTATGGGATCTACCCTTAAATCCACCATCTACGACTCATTTGTCCGTATGCAGAAATGCCGTTTCCTCTGTGTCCCTTTTGTCTACTGTAACAGGCAGATATTGTCTCATTTTGATAAGATGTCCATTCTGTGTTTTAAAAGGTTAGCTTTTCCCTTAAGTCTCTTAGGTTTGATTCATCAATTCACCCAGAGATCTGACAGTGAACAGCAGGCGCTCCAATGTTTACCTCTGCTGTGTAAGAACCAAACCCGACCTTCCCGGCCCCGCCTCCGGCTGTCTCCCTGTACGCAGTATCTCACCTCGTGGTCGCCGCACACCTCGGGCTTCGGATGTACAGTGAACCCAAAGAGGACCTGCTCGTAGCAACCCGCAACCAGCTCCATTGAGCAGAGCACGTGCCTCTTCCGCCAGCCCGGCTCAACCTGGAGGTGACGGAATCGGACGTCAAAAAAAAAAAAAAAAAGCCTGGGTCCTTTCTGCATCGGCGCCCGAGTTATACGTCATGGGTTCAGGGCTGCCTTTAGGTCGCCTGTAAACGTGGAAACACTTTCAGCGCTGGAAGATCACATGGATTTCCCAAGAGGAGAATAAATAAGGATGCCACATAAGGACGTTCTCACTGCAAGAAGAAAAAAATTGGGGGCAAGCAGGCATATCTTAGGAAGGTGAGATCTAGGTCAGTCTGAGGGGAGCGGGCGGGACATCCTCTGCGAAGACCCTCATTTCCGTAATATTCAGGAGGAGGCGAGGCCGACTTCCGGCCCGGTGGGGCGGGGCTGTGGCTGCGGTTCCTGGCAGGGAGGTGCTGCTCTTGGCATGCGGTTTGATGTGGGCGGTGTACTACGAGGGTAGAAGTTAGGGTTCCTTTTTGTTCAGGAAGCACTGGAACGAGCCTTTCGTAACAGGGCAAGGTGTGGTGGGACTTAGGGTTTGCGGTGACCTGTTCAGCGGCTCAGCGCCCGCGCTGAAACCCCGCGTGCGAGACCTGTCAGCGTTCCGGTCTGCCGCTGCACGCTTTCTCTGCCTGCTTGCTTCACTTGTCTAACTCTGGGGTCATATTGGCCAAGGTTGCAGCACCTCTCGGGGAGGGAGGAGTGAGCCTAGGCAACATAGCTGGAGTCCGTCTCTACAAAGAGATTTAAGACGGTGGTGGGAGGATCGCTTGAGCCCAAGAGGTCGAGGCTGCAGTGAGCCGAGATCGCTCCATTGCACTCCAGCCTGGGTGACAAGCCAGACACCGTCTCAAAGAAAAAAAAGTTTAATAAGGCTTAGAGATTGAGGGATGCGTTAGACATTACAGCTTTCCCACAAACTCCCAATAGAGTAAATCTTGGTTCGTATAGTTCTCATAAACACCATAGTAGATCAGTTGATAAACAAGATGCATAGTCCGTCCTGGTCAAAACTTCAGCCTCCATTTCAAGTGCGATACAATGCTTCAGCTCTTAGACCCTTCTGTTTCCAAGAACTTTTCTTCTCTGGCGTTCTGGATTGTCAGTACGTGTTAATTAATAGAGGCCGATTTGGCTCTTGCGGAGATGATTTCACTTTGGATGCCTTGGTTGTCGTAGCGCAGGAGAAAGGCCTTGTCATCTGCCAGCTTTGTCAACTCTGAATGTAAGCACTTCACAGACACTGAAATGCTGTTGACAAACTAGTCTGCAGTCTAGTGGAAATCCTTGTATTCGTTCACTCTTCTAAAATCATTCTTCGTCAGGTGCAGCGGCTCACGCCTGTAATCCCAGCACTTTGGGAGGCCGAGGCGGGCGGATCACTTGAGGTCAGGGATTCGAGACCAGCCTGGGCAACGTGGTGAAACCCCGCCTCTACTACAAATAGGAAAATTAGCAGGGCGTGGTGGCGGGCTCCTGAAATCCCAGCTCATCGGGAGCTTGAGGCAGGAGAATCACTTGAACTCGGGAGGTTGAGGTTGCAGTGAGCTGAGATCGAACCACGGCACTGCAGCGTGAGCGACAGTGCGAGACTCTGTCTCAAAAAATAAAGTCATTTTTTCACTTCGTGCTGGTTATCTTGTGTTACAAAAAGTCAAATTATTTTACGATTTAGATTACTTTTTTGTGTAATGTGTAACTGTTTCCACCAGAGAACCACTAAGAGGAGTGTGAAATGAGTGTGCTCTGGACATGAAGACAAACACTGAGTAGGCAGGACATTTATTTGAAGTTTCACATTTTTATCTTTAAAAACATGTCTTTACACATTTTACTCCACAACATATCTGTTCATTTTAATGCAAAAGCATTATACTCTCACCCAAAATTAAAAAAAAAAACCTCTACAGCTTTGTATATTCTGCTACTTCCGGAATGTCCCTGATACCCTGTCTCCTTACCCCAGGAACATCTCAACTGCTGTTTGAGAAGAATTAATACTTGTTTAATGCGTTTTTAAAAATAAATTTTAACCATAAAAAGGTGATTACTATATTCAGAATCTGTTACAAACTGTCACACTTTTACTTGCTTAACTTTTGTCCCAACCGGGAAGTTTAGAATATGGTTGGTTCTGGAATGGAAACCATGGTGTAAGCACCATGAACATAACTAAAAGTGGTTTTTCTAAACAAAACGTCAAAAAACAAAAAAAAATCCCCAAAACTTAGAAATTAGTGGAACCAATTATAGAGCTCGGAGGACTTAGACAATACCTAGCCCAGCTGTTACTAATCTGGGGGTTTGTGGACGAGTTTCAGGGGTTTTCAGTCTCAAATTATATGCAAATATGTGGATGTACATTTTTGGAGAACATTAAGATTTAAGCACCGTTTCAAAAAGATTAAGGATAACTCGTTAAGGGTAAAATGCAGTGATTCAGTCTTAGGTTATAAGTGCTGAGATACATCCGGAAAAGTGACTTTTTTAAGAACACACAGCTAAATAACAGTAAGGCCAGTAATGCTGGTTTTTATGGGTCCTCAGCCTTGAACATTCGCTTTAACAGAGGAAGGCAGCAGCATTCCATTTTATGCACGGCTGTGGCAGTAGTTTCTGTCAGGTCTCCATATGCAAGCCTGGAGCCTGAAAGTCTGAAGTCCGGCTTGCCTCGGCTGTCTCCTACCCCTTGCCTGCGTTCCCCATTGTCCTTAATCACCCATCGGGGCTTCCTTGACAAGCCCCTCACCCAACCCTGCCATCTTAACTGTTCTTATGATAATATAAGTACCTCTCACCTAACCCTGCCATTGTAACTGAACTTGTGGTCATGTATACTCCTTGCCCCTAACGTCCACCACTGTAACTGGACTTACTCTACAACACCCCCACCCCCCAAAAATACTACCCAAACCTATAAAACCAACTATCCCACTGCCCTTTGCTAATGCCCTTTTCGGCCTTAGCCCACCTGCACCCAGGTGAATAAACAGCCATGTTGCTGACACAAAGCCTGTTTGGATGGTCTCTTCATTCAAAGTGCGCGTTTTTCAACAGTTTCGGATCTTAAGATTGCGGATTTTCATTGTCTGGAGAAAGACAATAGAGAGTTTTATACCTGTTTAACTGGATTTGAACTGAGCATAACTTCCCGTAAAGCTTTCTTTTCTCTCCAAACACAGGATGTAAAAAGCCATTCAATCTCTTTCTTGTGAAATCTGCGGCTACCAAGAAACAACCAATGTTGAGAGTTCATTAATCAATACTAAGGCACAAGAGGATTATCTTGTTTTGTGGCTTTGCTTTTAAATTATTGATTGAAAAGATTTTTGCACTTGAGCTACGCTCTGATTTGTTCATTCATTCAACAAATATTTGTTGAGTGCCTAGCTTTGGTTTGCTAGAGGAAAAGCCAGTTTTTTTTTTTCTTGGGTGGTGAGGGTAGTAAAGTGGATATCCTGGGGTAAAAGCAGGATTATAGTAAAGAAAAATCAGCCCTGTTAGAAATATCACAAGAGTCTCATATTCCTGCTGAATTCTCCTTTCTCAATGCGACAAGGAGCAACTCTGTTAAACTCAAGGACTATGGAGGTTGCATGTGAATGTATTCACAGAGGTTTTGGTCCGGTTTGTATTTCCCAGCACAAAGGGAAGTGGAGATAATGCTATACTTGCTCCGAACCTGCCCAATGTTGGGCCCAAGTAGAATTTGCTTCACCTGCTTCATGCGTGTAATCTAGTTGAAACAGAAGATTTGTATTTGGGGCTTTTAGAGAGCAAAACAGTGGCTATGAGCCCTTCCTGGTCACTGTCCTCTCCAAGGCCTTAAGTGCTCATTTTTCCCTGGGATCTTGCTCACAACCTTCTGTTCCACAGAAGCAGGAGCAGCCATGAGAAACAGACCTCTTGGACACCGAACTAGAAAAGGAAGGTTTTTATTACAGCCGGGGAGCAAGGCTTTATGTTTTGTCCAAATGGCCAAGCTCCCCTAAAAGAGAAGCTCTGCCTTTATGTAGGCTTACACTCTAGATATTACACGTGAAAGGATCTTAGGTTTACAGCCTTAGAAATTACAAGTGAAAGGGTCTTGGGTTTACAGCTTTAGAAATCACATACGAAAGGGTCTTGGGTTTACAGTTTTAGGAATTACATGTGAAAGGTTTCTGGTCTCCGAATGGAGGAGTGGGGTGGGGGTTTGATCTTGTTTAAGTGAAAGCAGTGTCTTCTGGAGAGATTCCCCCATACCAAGCCTGCTATCTTATAGGAAGGTGATTTAGGAGGTGCCAGTCAGCCAGCCAGCCTTTTCTTCTATTGAAATGCAGTGTGGAGATCAAGGGGGAGGTGATCCTAGATGCCTGGGTCTCCTCCCTCACCACAGCTGCTGCCATTTTCCTAGGTGGTTTCAGCATGATTACATTGACCTCTCTCTTCCTCAGTCTCCTTACCACCTCCTCAATGTTCAACTTCTACATTCCTTTCCAACTGCAGCCTCCACACTCACCTGGTCATAGCCATAATTGTGATTTTCTTTGTGTGAAATAAAGTCAGTCCTAAAATGAGATAAGTAAAAAAAAAGTTTTTACAGAAAAAGAATTTTTAACATTTTTATTGGTTGTCTAAGCTATAGTAGTTAGGAATATATTTAAGCTGACATAACAATAGTGGTTTAAACAAGACATTTATTAAGTAAAATAAACCAGTGGTAGGCCAGTCTAGTGCTAGCGGAAAGAGTCCTTAGTCATTAGTGACCCAGACTCATTCTGTCTTGGATCACCATATTATTCTGTGTGACTTCTTCCCTCATGTCACCTCATAGCCAAGATAGCTGCAGAGTTATTCTGACTCCACCTGTCATGTTTGTAATCCCAGCACCAGACCTGGGGAGACAGTAGAGGATAAAAAGGCCCCCCCTTCCAGGTTAGCAAATACCCTTTTCCCACACAGCTTTCCCCAATCCCCTTCTAATACTTCTATTTAGATCTTCTTAGCCAGATTGGCCACCTGGCCCCATCTTCCTTCAAGGGAGAAGCTAGGAAATGTAGTCTTTTAGCTTGAGCCTATTGCTGGCCCAAGTGAAATCAGAATTGTTATAATGGAAGAAAATAAATCGATATTGGGTGGCACCTAACAATGTCTGCCACAGCTGCTAATCAATAAAATCTCCCTTGAAGACATGGAGAGATTCACTCCAGATAAACTCCACTATATCACCAATGCCAGTTGCCTTGCCTTGTGTATACCATCAGCCCTCAGCATCTGTGGGTTCTACATCCCTGGATTCAACCAATCGTGGATTGAAAATATTTGAGAGGCTGGGCACGGTGGCTCACATCTGTAATCCCAGCACTTTGGGAGGCCAAGGCGATCATGTCACCTCAGGTCAGAAGTTTGAGGCCAGCCTGGCCAACATGGTGAAACCCCATCTCAACTAAAAAGCCAGGGGTGGCAGTTGCCTGTAATCCCAGCTATTAGGGAGGCTGAGGCAGGAGGATCATTTGTACCTGGAGGGCAGAGGTTGCAGTGAGACGAGATCATGCCACTGCACTGCAGCCTGGGCAACATGGTGAAATCCCATGTCTACTAAAAATACAAAAATCAGCCAGGTGTGGTGGTGGGTGACTGTAATTATAGCTACTGGGAAGGCTGAGGCAGGATAATCACTTGAACCTGGGAGGCAGAGGTTGCAGTGAGCCAAGATCACACCACTGTGCTCCAGCCTGGGTGACAGAGGGAGGCTCCGTCTTAAAAACAAAAACTCCGAAAAGTAAAACTTGAATTTGCCGCATGCCGGATACTACTGTTGAACCCACACGAAGTAATGTATAGCCATTGTATGAAGTATGGTAAGTAATCTAGACAGAATTTAAGGTTTATGGGAGGATGTGTGTATGTTCTTTGCAAATACTACACCATTTTATACTTGGGCATTGAAGGATTTTGGTATCTGAGGGGGATCCTGTAAACAGTCTCTCATGGATACTAAGGAATGACTGTAGTAATGGCTCAATAAATAACTGGTGAATGACTGATCAGAATGTTTTGAATTCATCATGTCTGCTATTTTTCACATTACAGGCCAATAGAAAATGCATTAAGCACTTGGTTATCAGCCAGCTGCAGGGAAATGGCCACACCCTAAGCGCCGCATATGGACCCAAAAGTTATCTTGAATTTTGACACTGTGTATCCTTGCTGCTTAAAGTGGCAGGAGCTAGCTATAAAGGCAGAATTTGAGGCTCCACTCCAGATCTGTCAAGTTAAACAATCTACTTTTTTTTTTTTTTTAATATGGAGTCTCACCTTGTTGCCAGACTGGAGTGCAGTGGCGTGATCTCGGCTCACTGCAACCTCCGTGCCCTGGGTTCAAGCTGTTCTCCTGCCTCGGCCTCCTGAGTAGTCGAGACTACAAGTGTGTGCCACCATGCCTGGCTAATTTTTGTATTATTATTGTTTTTTAGTACAGATGGGGTTTCACCATGTTAGCCAGGATAGTCTTGATCTCCTCACTTCATGATCTGTCCGCCTCAGCCTCCCAAAGTGTTGGGATTACAGGTGTGAGCCACTGTGCCAGCCTAGAGAACCTACATTTTAAACAAGTCTAGGTCATTTGTATGCACATTAAATTTTGGGAAGCTTTATCATGCTTTTTAAAAAAATACTGAACCAGAGAAATATTTCTTTAAAATTGTATCCTGTACTCTCATTAATGTAGGCTGTAAGAGAGAGAAAAGGAAGAGAGACAGGAGGGAAGGGGACAAAGGAAGGCTTTCTTCCCTGCCTCTTAATTTTGCAGCGAGTTTGGATTATGCTTTCAACCTGCATGGGATTTAAAAAAAAAAAAAAAAAAAAAAAAAAAAAAGCACTAGCTAGTTCCAATAGTTATTCTCAGCTGATAACTGAGGAGAACAATATATTTGTCTTAAGGTTTTGTTATTAAAGATTCCCCTTAGGCCGGGCGCGGTGGCTCACGCCTGTAATCCCAGCACTTTGGGAGGCCGAGGCGGGTGGATCACGAGGTCAAGAGATGGAGACCATCCTGGTCAACATGGTGAAACCCCGTCTCTACTAAAAATACAAAAAATCAGCTGGGCATGGTGCCGCGTGCCTGTAATCCCAGCTACTCAGGAGGCTGAGGCAGGAGAATTGCCTGAACCCAGGAGGCGGAGGTTGCGGTGAGCCGAGATCGCGCCATTGCACTCCAGCCTGGGTAACAAGAGCGAAACTCCGTCTCAAAAAAAAAAAGATTCCCCTCTTACTTGTTATGATAAGGGGTACAGTGGAGACTGTCTTTCATTGTCGACTGACACATCTTCCCCTTCTGTCCCTCCTTGGGGTTCTGCTGGCTCCCCCAAGCCTGACAGTTGGGAGAGAGGGCCGGCAGATGGAAGCCAGAGGAACAGGTGGCAGAATTTCCCCCAGGTGCCTCAGTGCACCCCTCCCCCCCACATCTTTGCCCTGTTGTTAGGAATGTCAACCAATTAATTGCCTAGCAGGAATTGCCACTAAATGTAATTATCTCAGAGGTAGTTGCGAGACTTGTCAGGGTTGAGAGGTTTTAGCCCACAGGCCGGAATTTTTGACTCGGGAATAAAAACTGGATTCTGCTCTCTTCTTGTAAAGTTTCTGGATAAATGGCAGAACAGGAGAGTTTTGCAGGTTTTGGCATAGCTCAACAAAGTAACTATTACTGCTTCTGGCAAAGGTGAGCAGTTTTCTCCTTTGAATGAGAAAGAAAGCTGTTACTGTTCTATTTGCTACATAATTGTTGGTAACTTACAAACAATGGCTTTGAACATAGGTGTTCAACTTACTGCAAACTTCCTGGAAAGAAGTCTGGGGGTTTGTGGATGATTCTGTGTTGGTTGGTGACGGTTGTCATTGCTGTGGTCTCCTCTCTGCTATTAGAGTGAAGCAGGAGTTCCAGCCCATCCAGGGTTACCACTGTGGCAACTGGTACGTGCAGCAGCCCAGCTCTTACCTTCTTTCTGGCTACAGCTACTGCTGTGCGGTGCATGGAAATGGACAGGACTGTTTTTCTGTGCGTGAGACCCCTCAACATACAGCTGGAACTTTGGTTATGCCTAAGGTATCCCTTGCTGGAATGAATCTTGTGTCATTCATGGGCCCGATAATAGTAAACATCACTTTCCTGTCTTCACACATTATTATCCTCTGATCCAAATTCCCACAGCCACGGCTTTTGCTACCTGTTTTAAAACTAGAGAGTAAAGCTGATAGCCTAAGAAAAACGTTTGTACAGCTTTATTGAGGTGTATACTTGATACACAGGAAGTCTCCTGTACATGTTTAATGTTTATGATTTGCTGAGTTTGGAAATGTATAACCCATAAGTTTTCACTTGAAGGTAGTTTTGGGGTTTATTTTATAGCAGTTAGATATAAACACACTTTAAAAAGATGTTGTAAATACTTTGAATTACTGAAGTGACATATTTCTCAAATCACACGAAGATGTATTGAAGTAAGGGAAAAGCTCCCCCCACACCTCTTCTTCCCCACTCCCTTCCTACTTAGAAGAAAGTACTGTTGGAGCGGATGTCTTCTAGATCTTTCCCCTGTACTCTTGCTAAATCAGCGTGGTTTGTCTTTCTGTTTTGGTGGTTAGGGTATGATTTAGGCAAGAGTGATCAGTAGTACATACTGTTTTGCTCTTTGCTTGCTTCTGCATAAGGAGACCTTTCTTTAAAAATTGCCCATTTATGGTCTGTGCAAGATGGCTCACACGTGTAGTCCCAGCTACTTGGGAGACTGAGGCGGGATGATCACTTGAGCCCGGGAGTTTGAGGCTGCAGTAAGCCATGATTGTGCCACTATACTCCAGCCTGAGCAACAGAGTGAGCTCATTTAGATACACTGTGATTTTTAGCTCATCCCTTATCTGACATTTTAAATATTTTTTGGGCTTTAACAAACTTACTTATCTTCAAGCATTTGTCTGAGTGTTGATATTTTTCCAAGAATTTATTTCTGGATGTGGAAGGGCTGGATTAAAGGATGTATCATAAAAATGTTTAAATAGCAAATTACTTAAAGTCTGCAAGAATTTGTACTTTTCATTATTGTGGTGGGTGTTCTTGCTACTCGACATTCCTCTCTGTATATGATTGGGCAATGTGATAGGCCAGGGAGGATTTGTCTATTATTGAGGGCAAATATCTCTTGAAGTGTTTATGGGTATCTGTGTTCTGTGACTTTGATACCATCCTTTTAGTTTTTCTGTTGAGTTGTGTCCCTCTTGCTTGACTGCATAAGATATTCACAGGTTAGAGAAATTAACACTTTTCACTCTAAATGCTACGGACGTCCTCCACCCTAGCTTTTCTCTCAATCTGCGTAGTGACACCGTTGTTTGATGATCTTTGCCTTAAAACCAAAGTTGAATTTCACATCTAGACCCTTGGTTTTTAAAACTTACATTTGATATTTTACTGCCCAAACTTTCGTTTTCATTTTTTCTCTGGTCTGTTTTAGGTGTGCCTCTTGTATAAAATATGTTCAATTTCTTGTCATTTTTTCCCCCTTTTGGCCCGATTTGGGTTTTTCCCTTTTAACAGATGTTTGATATTGAAGCACTTTAAAAAAACATATTTCACCACATTGCGTGAGGTTTTATCACTCTTTTTTTTTTCTTTCGCCTCTTCCCTTTTTGTTCTTTTTTGGGAGATGGTCTGTTTTTGGTGGTCACCCTTATATCTTTAAATGGAGAAGTATAAGAAAGAGCATAGACTAGCATTTTAAAAAAAAATTAAAAAAAAAAAAGAATGAATGTATTACCAACTTCAGAAGTGAAAGTATTTGTTGATTTTTTCATCACTCATGAGAAAATTAAGAAATGAACACCCTTTTTTTCTCACCTGGCTACGCCTTCTCTCCATTCCTCTGTCCATTTTTGTTGGCACATCCTGGGATTTTTATCTCATCCTCTAGCCAAATTATTACTATAACATGCATGTTTTCATACAAGAATTATATAAACCTATTTTGTGGTTGTGGTGACCCCACTGTGCCTTCTGCCTGCCATCCTGCTGGGTGTTACCTATTGGGAAGCTGCTGAGCAAAACTAAAGATGGGAAGGCTCTGTGGCAGCGCTCTTTCACTCACCCATCCCCGTTTTGTTCTTCTCTAATAAAGCGTGTCCTTGCTGAGATGTCCTCGCTTTATTCCCTGCTTCCCCCAATGTGCTGTGCCTCTGTCCATAACCTTTATCTCCCCCACGTTAACGGGTTACCCCTCTGCAGCCCACTCCTTTACATTTTGGCATTGTGGAGGTGGGTGTCTCCAACATGATTCTCAGGTCTTTGCGGCCCATCCCAGACTATCCCTAGCTGAGGAAAGACTTTTGCAAACGTGCTTGTCTTTAAAGGCAGTCAGCTGCATGCACAGCGCCAGTGGCCCTCAGACCAGAAAGAATGCTCTGTCTCCAAATAGCTGCTGCTTCCCTCACCCTGGTTATTTAGCATCCACATTTGCCAGAACGCATATTGAAAGGAGAAAATGTAAGGTTACTTGGTCTTGTATTATGGGAAAGGACTTGTGGAAGCATGGATTCTGAGTGTCTTAGCCATTTCTTTCTTTACCTTTTATAGAATTCATTTTTAGAGATGATGTCTTGCTCTTTTGCCCAGGCTGGAATGCAGTGGTACTATCATAACTCACTGTAGCCTTATCTCCTGGGTCTCCTGCCCCAGCCTTCCAAGTAGCTGAGACTATGGGCTGCATACCACCGTGGCTGGTGTCTTAGCCATATCTAAATACAAAAAAGACACAGATTGTCTTTTGAAATTTATGGTAACCTATTTTCCAAACCTGCACATATTTCAGAGTGAAGGGGAGACATACTTTCAGATAAACTGAAAAGAAAAGATAGTGGATCTTTGACTGTCAGTATCTTCTCATTCTTATTAACAAGGGAAGCTTAATTAAGTGCCAGGAGCTAGATCAGCCCTTCCTTGGTAGAGTGATTCCTTGGAATAGCTGGCCGTACTTAAAAAGACAGGTTCCCAGCAAGTCTCTATAGTGGAATCATAAAAATGTATGCTGCCCCAGTAGATCCAACAGAGTCTGGGTTAACACACCAAAATTTACTTTGGGGGTGCCTCTGCAGTTCACTTCCCTCATTATGTAAGAATACGATTGGTTTGCTTTGCTGTAGCCTCTCATTTTCTTGAGCACCTAACATCCTGGTTCTTAGCTGAGCCAAGGGTTTTGGGGTTATGATTAGAAGGCCATGAGGAAAATGTGCTCATGGAGACTTTATAGATTGTATTCTAGAAGGAGGAGCAGAATTCCAGGTAGAGTCAGGCATGTGGTACAGGAAATAAGGAGCCTGATACCAGGGACCCTGGTGTCCGCTTCCTAGCTCAGGCTCTAGGATCCTAGTTAGGTCTCAGAAAATCCAAAGGCCAGAGGCCCTTGTTAGGCTTGCTGCTCTTTTGTAACAATTCTGTGACTCAGTTTACCTCTTTCATAATTGTACAATGTCACCTAAAGATTCTTTCCATCAAATTCAAAATTTGATTTTAAGGGATTAATTTTCAAAATTATTTTTATTTTAGATAGTATTTTTAGGAGCTAGAGTTTTTTCCCAATAAAGTATGTATTGATATTAAACCATTACATAAAATTATTTTCTCATGAGATCCTTTTTTGTTGCAGGAAACCACAGGTCTAGCTGAAAACCAAGATGAAGACCCACTAGAAGGTAACATAAACCTTGTGCTCAAGTGGTTGGAAACAAAACCCCATTTCCTGGTTTCTCATTCACTCCACTTGCTGTAAACTGGGAGGCTCTACTGGAAAATTCCAGTGTAGGTTGCCTAAGCCATATTTTTCAGTAATTTCTCCTGTTTTTGGAAACTGGTTCTATGGGAACAACTTTAGCTGAACTACTTCTTCGGGCCCTTCCCAAGGACTGGGAAAGGGGGACATTCCCAAACAGTAAGAAGGCAATACATTGCTTTTAAGCGCCATTTCCTCCGTACGTGTAGACTTTGAGGTCAATTATGCTTTAATTCTGATTTTCAAGGGAGAAGAGCACCGAGGCGATCGCTGTGGCCTCAGGGTTGTTGGTTCCTGGGGTACCTGTCAGGACAGCACTGTAGTATCAGGCTGGTGGTGCTTCCTGTAGTTCTGAATTTGTTCTGAAAAGAACGAAGTTTGTCTGCCCGAGGACAAACACTCTGAATGTGTCTTATTTGAGGAAGAGAAGAAAATGTTTAGCTTCTTTTAAGTAATAAGAAAGAAAAATAGAGGAGAAATTCAGAGAACACTATTGTCTTTTTCTTACCACATGCCTGTCTTATCAACATGTTCATCATGTCTCTCTCTTGATCAAACCCCTTTCCCTACCAGACAAACCTACCTACTGTCTTTGTGACTTGATCAAAGAAGGGAGCATGTTGTTATTTGTCTTTGTAGCCCCTGTGACTAATTCAGAGTTCATATGTTGGTAGGTGCTCAGTGTTTAAATTAAATCAAATTGATGTTGAAATCTTTAGATACTGTTGAGCAGTTCTAGTTTTTAGTACTTTGATTTGAGCATGACTAAAGGGTGTTTTATTTCAGCTTTCCGGGATTTCTTAAACCTTTCTTAAAGGTTAAGTGTGAATCTCTCTTCCTGTCTTTATCAGTTACACAATTTATTAAAATTGACGCAGGATTTCTTGCTCCTTAGTTCAGCTAAATCTCTAAGTTCTCGTCTTATGACCGGGAAAAATTAGGCATGCAGACACACTGAAGGGTGAGGAGGAGGGAATTTATGAAGTGAAAGGAAAGCTCTCAACAAAAAGAGGGATCCTGAATGCAGGTTTCTACCTCACAAATTGAATACCAGGCCACTACACACAAGTTGAAAAGGCCAGGCTCCTCCCCTGCATAAGGTGTGAATTCCTGGTGGTTCCACCCCATTCTTCCAGTGTGCATGTGGGCCCATAGTCTGAGCCACTCCACATTGATTTATTTCCCTTACCGTGCATGTGTTAAGGGATGGAATTTTTCACCATGGGCATGTTTAGGCAAGCCCCCTGTGCACAATGACTTGGGCAGGTTGGAGGTTCTCCTTGGACCCTTCCCTATTTGCCTAGGCATTTGGGTGTTTTCTGCCTCTATCAGAATAATGGAGGTAAAAGTTTACTTTTTGGATACAGACTGCCAGGGAGTTCAGATCCACCTACTAGCTCTGTAGGTCTAGATAAATTAATCTCTAGTGTGTCTGCTTCACTTTCTGTAAAGTGGGGACATTGATACCTATCTCATAGGAAGCATGGGCATGCTAGGGCTAAAGTACTTTTAGGTGGCTTAGCAGCTTCTGCCATATGATAACCACTCAAGTGTTGGCTGGTCATAAATCTGGCACAGTACACTGGTCAGTATAAATGTAATGCAATTGCACCTCAGGGAACTAAAAGAACAAGAACAAAGTAAACCCAAAGTTAGTAAAAGAAAAGAAATAATAAAGATTATAGCAAAAATAAATAGAAGCTGGAAAAACAATACAAAAGATCAACAAAATGAAGGGTTGGTTTCTTTAAAAGTTAGTCAACAAACCTTTAGATTAAGGAAAAAAACTCAATCAGATGAAAAAGAACACATTACAACTGATACCACAGAAATACAAAGGAACATAAAAGACAGTTATGAACAATTATACATCAGTAAATTGGATAGCATAGAAGAAATCGGTAAATTCCTGGACACATACAATCTACTACCTACCAAGATTAAATTATGAAGAAATAGAAAATCTGAACAGACCAATAATAAGGAATTGAACCAGTAATAAAAAGTCTCCCATCAGGCCAGACCTGGTGGATAATGCCTATAATCCCAGCACTTTGGAAGGCTAAGGTGGGAGGATCATTTGAGCCCAGGGGGCTTGAGAGCAGCCTTGACAATACAGCAAGACCTTGTCTCTACAAAAAATGTAAAAATTAGCTGGATGTTGTAGCATGTGCCTGTAGTCCTATATATTTGAGAGCCTGAGGTAGGAGGATTGCTTGTGCCCAGGGAAAAAAAAACATAATTTCTTTTTTTTTTCTTTTTTTTTTTGGAGACAGGGTCTTTCTTTGACACCCAGGTTGGAGTGCAGTGGTGTGATCTGGGGTCACTGCAACCCCTATCTCAAGGCTCAAGCAATCCTCCCATCTCAGCCTCCCAAATAGCTGGGACCAAGCTGAGAGAAAGATATATTGTACAGCATGGTGACTATAATTAATGAAGAAATATTATATTGAAAAATACAGGCTAGTTCGAAGGTAGCGAGTTATCACAACTGGTTGTTGAATCAGTTGTGGATTGAATTTTTTGTTCTCTTTCCCTGCTTCTTACTGCTGCATTTGACTTGTCTTGAAGGAAAAAGGAAAAATAAAGAAAAATACATAGAGGATATTCAGTGTTTCCACCACAAAAATGAAAAATAACTGTGAGGTAGTACATTTGATGATTCAACAATGAACGTATACTTGAAATGTTATGTTTCAAAAAAAAAAAATGAAAAAATGTTGTACATGATAAATACATACAGTTTTGTCTGCCAGTTTGAAACATTTAGAAATTAAAGAATAGATAATGTGAAACACAAAGCCATTTATGTAGTTAGTTTAAAATTTTTCAGTAGCCAAATTAAAGAACCAACTCAGGAGACCGGTAAAATTAGTAATGTTTCTTACTTAACCTAATATCTGTGATGAACTGAATTTGTGTTCTTTTCCCTTGCCAAATTCATACGTTGAAACCCTCACTCCCAATGTGATAGTTTTAGGAGGTGGGTCTTTAGAGAGGTGATTAGGATTAGGTGAGGTCATCAGGGTAGGGTCCTCATGAATGGAATTGGTAACTTCACAAGAGTCACAAGGGAGCTTGATTCCTCTCTCTGCCCTCTGCCATGTGAAGATATGACTTCTGGGCAGTGTGCAGCCCAGAAGAGGGTCCTCACCAGAACCCAATCATGCTGACATCTTGATCTTGGACTTCTGATTTCTAGAATTGTGAGAAATAACTGTGTGTTGTTTACAAACTACTCAGTCTCTGATATGTTGTTAGCAGCCCAATCTAAGACAATATCCAAGGTATTATTCCAACATGAAATCAATATAAAAATTAATGACTTTTTACATCAAGTCTTTGAAATACAGCATATATTTTTTTCTATTTTTTTTCTTTTATGGCTGCCCCCTCACCTGCAGATTGTGGGGGATCCTTAATCTGAGGACTTTTCAGACCTTACCTTAAAGCTGATTTAAAAATTTTTTAAATTGCGGTGAAATATGTATAACATAAAATTTACCATCTTGACTTGTCAATGTATCACACTTGGTCTTAGTCAAAAGGCCGAGAATCAATAGACTTTTAAATGTATCAGTGGTATTAAGTACATTCATAATGTTGTGTAACCATCATTATTCATCTCCAGAACTCTTCATTTTATAGCCTGAAACTCCGTACCCATTAAATAACAGTAACTCCTCACTCTCCCTTCCCCCTGGCAACCACCATTCTGCTTTCAATGTTGTGTGTATTTTATCCTTACATCACATCTCAGTGAAGGCTAGCAATGCTCAAACACTCAATAGCCGCGTGTGGCTAGTGGCTACTGTGTTGGACGCGTTGGTCTAAAAGATGAACAGGTTTAGGGAAGACATAGTTTGTCCTGTTTAGGCTTCTGTTATAGTTTTGGTCAACATCGCTGGAAGTGCGGAGATCATATCATCCAGGGTTTGGAGCTGACCACACCATATCTGTTTTCTTGGCTGCAGGTTAAGTAGAGGGCATGCTCATAAGCACATGATCCTGACACCTCTATCCCACTAGGGGCATGCGGTCAGGGACCCTTTAGCAAACAACTTCTCATAACAACAGTGAAGGAAAGGAACCAGGGGCAGAAGTGTAAGAAAATTTCAGAATGTTTTGGGGGAAAAAAGGGAAACATCTACTTTTATGATCAGAAATGCTCAAAGGAAAGATGATTCAGAAAGGATGGGAAGCTCTAAAGTGTAAGAATCAGACAGCACTCAGAGATTTCACCACCACCAGGCCTGCTTTACAAGAGCTTCTGAAAGAACCACTACAAATAGAAAGGAACAACCAGTATCAGCCTTTCTAAAAAATACCAAAAAATAAAGAACATCAACATAATTAAGAAATTGCATCAACTAATGGGCAAAACAGTCAGCTAACATTAAATGACAGTATCAAACACACATATATTGTTATTAATTCTAAATTTAAATTGACTAAATCCCCCAATCCAAAGACACAGACAGGCAAAAAAAGCCAAGACCCATTGGTATGCTACATCCAGATCCATCTCACATGCAAGGATACATAAAGACTCAAAACAAAGGGATGGAGAAAAATTTACCAACCAAATGGAGAGCAAAAATAAATAAATAGAAAGCAGGAGTTGCAATTTTTGCTGATAAAATAGATTCAAAGCAACAAAGATCAAAAGAAGCAAAGAAGGATATTACATAAAGATAAAAGGATCAATGTAACAAGAAGAGCTAAAGATCCTAAACATATATGCACCCAATACAGAAATACCCAGATATATAAGACTTACAAAGAGACCTGGCAATATTAGATAGATCAATGAGACAGAATGTTAACATTGATATCCAGGACTTGAACTCAGAT